CTCATCCATTCTTCTTTGAAATATCTGTGGTACATTTTTCAACCCAAATGGCATTACATTCCATTCGTATTGTCCTAAAGGATTGGGGGTACTAAATGCAGTTAGTGGTTTACTTTCTTGTGTAAGCATGATTTGCCAAAACCCTGACTTACAATCAAATTTTGAAAATATCTTTTTGTTCTGTACTTGTTTAATAAGGGTATCCTTATTTGGCAAGTAATATCCATCAAACTTGGTAACTTCATTTAATTTTTTGTAGTTTATTACCATTCTGGCTTTTCCTCTTTTTATCTCACTGTGTTTTCTAACCATAAAAGCTAGGCTGTTATGTGGGCTTTTACTTGGCCTAATCAATCTGGCTTCTAGCAATTCTTTTATCTGGTTTTTAAATTCTTTTTGATCATCAACACTATATTTCATAGGTTTGACCCTTACTATAGTATCTGGATTAGTTAATTCTATCTTTACCTTTACTTTATCTGTATTTCATTTTTCTAATGGATTTTCAGAATATGTTTCAGAGATTTCTCTTTTCAATTTTTCTAACCTATTTTCTGTTGTCATTTTTAATACTATAACTGGTTTAAATTTTTCTGTACTCCAACATCCACCACGCTGGGTTGAAGAACTCTGATGTTTTATATCTCTATATGTAATTGTAACAGCTTTATTTATTTTTGGTGTAAATATTTTATGTGCACAAGGTGTTGTGAATATATATTTATCAATATATTGTGTAAATGGCGCATATTTTAGTAGGAAATTTTGTCCTAATAAAATATCACATCCAGTTGTGGTTGACATATATATTGTATCAACAAATACTTCTCTAAAAGAGATTAGAAAAGGTACTTGAGTAACATACTTATTGTATATTACCTTATTTCCTCCTGCTGTTGTAGCAGTTATTACCTTCTTTGGATTATATTTCCAATATTCAGATGGCAATACATTTGGTAAGCATAAACTTATTGTACTTCCTGTATCTAAGTAAGCGTGAAATTTAATTCTACAATAATTTTTTATATTGAGTGTAATTTCAATATATGGGCTCATGGGATTAGTACTTATTATTCTTTCCATGATAACAATGATTTCATATTTTCATCTATTCTTGGAGTGATAATTGGATTATCATCAACTGTTATTTTCAAATATCCTTGGCAGATTTTATAAGGACTATATTTCTCAAGAAAGTCCATTCCTAATAGGATAGGTGAACGATCCACTCCATATAATTCATCTTTATATAGAATTATTTCTTTAGTATATTCTTTCTGATCCTCTCCTACAAGTATAAGAGGAAATCTAACATATTTTCTTATTTCAAGATTATTTCCTAAATAATCCTTAAATATATATGGTTCTGGTATTTCAAAGTCTATTAGATGATTAACAAATTTGGCATTTACATGACTTTTATCTGCTCTAGTATCTATAAGGACAAGAAGATTTTTCTTAAATCCTTCTTGGTTTACATATCTTGTCTTAATGTAATATTGTGAACTTGATGGTTCAACAATACTTAAATTTTTAAGTCTGCTTATCCTAGAGTCATGTCTAGAGGGAAATCTTGCAATAAGATTGTCTCCTTTTAAGCTGACACTATTTCTTCTTATTAATTTTCCTTCAGAATTAATTTCTTTTGCTTGTTTATGGAAATCAAGCATTATTTGTTCTGGTATCGTTACTTCGTGTTCTTGATATTTCCTAGGAGGTATGTATTGTGCTAATTCCTCAAAATCTTTATGTATTATTATGTTATCAGTTATTTTTCTTAAATTGTGATGATGGCTAGTACTAAAAGCAAAAATTGATTTTATGCTTATGCTAATAGCCTTACTTCTTCGTAACATTTTTAAATTTCCAATTCTATAATATAGATTGAAACTTTGATCAATATTTTCATCACTTAATGATATGGCATAATTTGGTTTTACTGTAAATATTATCTTTTGATAAACTAAATTTCCTACAACTGTTCCTAATAGAGCATCAATAGGATCTTGTAAAATTCTGTTGTCCATACAGTATATTTCTATTGGTATATTCATACCTTCTCTAAAAAATCCTTTTACCATTATCTGGACTCCTCCTAATTCAATACATTTTAATTTATTTCTTACATTTTTCGGGATTTTAGATAGTTTTTGTTTTACCCATTCTTTTGTGATTATAGGAATTCTTGCTTTTCCTATAGTATCTTCTATGTTGATAGACATTTCTTTATAATTCATACTTACTATTGTTTTATTTACCCTTGGTTAAATTCCTAAGAATCCTTGATGAAATACATCTTTTTCTTGTAGATCTAATATCATTTTAGTGATTCCTGCATATTTTTTAATATCAAAAGTTATATCTTGATTAATACCTTCTATAGAATCTTCAACTTTTTCAGTTGTTTTTATTTCTATTTCTGATTGTTGTATTTCTTGATTCATATATACTATTTCCTCATAGTCTTCTTCTGATGAAGATGTATCTAATTCATAAATACTACTACATTCACTGCTTAAATCTCCAAAATATTCAATTGGTTCAATATCACTATCTTCTTGAAATTTTTCATAGATTCTAAGAGTTTTTATATTTTGTCTATCTTTCTTTTTAGGACATTGAGGGGCAATGTGTCCTTCTTCATTACATATAAAACATCTGCATTTTTTAATGTTTCTTGGTTTAAATTTCTTATTCCAATTTCTTTTCTTGAAATATTTTTTATGTGGTTTAAAATTCCTTTTATTGAATTTTTTATAGTTTTTGAATTTTCTTTTATATTTTTTATATGGTTTATATTTCTTCTTATGGCATCCAAATTGTTCAACTTGGCCATTATCTTTATAGCAACATAATGAATTTTTTCTTATTTTATAAGCTTTCTTATTTTATAGTGCTTCTCTGCACCATATTCCTATCATTCTTCTTGTAAATTCAATTCTACTTCCAAGACTATCTATTTCAACTCCTTCCTCTTTTCCTAGAGGTAGTAATTTTTCATATTCTTTTAGTAACTTGATTCCCCATGGGAATGGTAACTTGGTAAAATAAGACCTTAAAATAAGTTTATTTTCCTGATAGTCTCCTTGATTAAGTATATAGTATAATTCTTCAAATTTACATGTATATCTTTCTAACTCACACATACCACATATCTTTAAATTTTCCATTAAAATTATTCCTTGGTTATATTCATCTTGTTTTCTTTCTTCTTCATTAGAAGCATACCTATCTCCTAAGAATTCTGTTCTTAAGATTTTTTCAAATCTTTTTAATATTTCCTGTATATTTTGTTCATTTAGAGTATTCCTATTATCTAATACCTCAGTTCTATTTGTTCCATATTTTATCCTTCCTTTAATAATTTCTGGTAACTTTCTCCACCATTCAGACACAATTCCTCTGAATGTATGTTCTATAAATCCAAAAGCTGTATATATTTTCCATTTGTTAAATTGTATAGCTAAATCTGTACTTTTTTTCCATGTTTCAATAGCTTTATCTTTATCTACACAGTCTAAATCTAACCATACTCCTGTTGTGTGGATTGGTTCATTGTAAGATTTCCTTGGATTTATTTCTTTTATGGATTGTTTTCTTACATTTTCAGTGTATCTTTTCTGTGTTTTTCTATATTGGTTAATATCAGCCTTATCAGGTATTGGAGTACCATAAGGATAATCTTGTTCTTCATCACTACTAAATTCTACTTTTATATCATGACTTGAAGATGGATTAGTATTCATTTTTATATTTTCCATTTTTTCAGTTAATTCTTCTAACTGTTTTTTATATTTTTCATACTCTTCACCTGTTGATTCTAAGAATTTTTGTTCTATTTCTTCTACATTTGTAATCATATATTGTTTTTCTTCATGCTTTTTTCCTTTATCATTTTCTTTTTGTGTTATCCTAAAATCTTGGGGTGGATTAATTATAATCCTATCTTTTCCTTTAAGATTTTTATCTAATAGGGCATTTCCTATTTGTAGATTATGTTCTAGATTCTCTAATCTTTTATGTATATCACCAAAATTTTCATTTGTGGTATTTTTAGGTAAATAAGGATAACTAGGTTTTTTATGTTTTTCGACTTTTTTCAAAATTTCTTCTATTATATTTTCTTCGTCTACTATATTCATCATAATTTTTGGTTCGTAACATGGCTCTGATACCATCTCGTCGGAGTGTGCAGCGGAGGGGTTAATATTTTTAAGCCAATTAAATTCTTCATAAGTATTTAAAATATCATAATAGAATTTATAAAATTCACTATTTTTTTTCAATATTTTTTCTTGAATAATTATGTTTAATTTTTCAATTCTCCTTCTTAAATTAAGAATTAATTTATATATGTCTTTTTCCATTTTGATTGCTTCATTATCTATAGAATCATTTTTATTTTTTAATTTTGGGTCTAAATATTTTATAAAGAAGTCTTTCAGATCTTCTTCCAGATAGATTAATTCGTTTTCTGTAGCGGTTTTTAGGTCAATAAAATTTTGTATAATATTTGGATCTAAATTTATTAAAGAATTTTGGTCTATATTTCTTTGAGGACTTATTTTAAGGTTTTTAGACATTGTAATGGCTTTGGTTGCAATTTCTCTGTTAAGGGTATTTTTGAAAAATTGATTGTTTGGAGACTAGTTTTCAAATGTTTTTATTTCTTAGACTAATTTGGAAAATCTTCATATTATTTAGGCTTTTTAGTTGAATTTCCTTGTGTCAAGTATACAGGAATTTAATTTTTTATGAATATTCTGCAATTAAATTTATCTTTTATCGCGCTTTCCCATTTATTTTTTTATATTATGATAAAAAAATAAGTCCTTTCGCGTCTTCCGACTGGCTTTTTTGTCAAAGACCATTAGCAGAAACAAGATGTACTAGCTGAAGGTAAAAATTCAAAAAGTTAACGACATAAATGCCACAATAAGCAAACCTGAGGACCTTAAGTACAAATAAATTGTGGTGCAAGAAGTAAAAATCGCAGCGCGAGTAGGAAAAAGCATTAAAATCAATTTTTACTTTCAACACCTCTTAGCAATAATATCAGAAATCAGTACCAGGGAACTGATATTGAAAACATAAATATCCCCTAAATAATAAGGGACAACATGGTCACAACAATCTAATAATAGTAATACCACCAATTCGAAGTACCAAAATGGGACTCACGAGGTCCAGCACAAATATTCCGGTATGTTTTATCGTGCAATTCCAGTCTCTTCAAGACCCAAATCAGTGGCCGATAGGAATAAGTAAACTACTTCCAAAGCTTCCTCAACGACATATTTTTATCTGTTTCCTTCTTCATCACCTTTGCGACAGCCATCTCAAAGTCCTCCTGAGTGACATGAACCCTTCTCTCTCTCAAAGCAAACATCCCTGCTTCAGTGCAAACAGCCTACAATGACCCATAATTTCAGAAATTCTTCAAAGCAAACAGCACTTAAAATATGAGAAAAATGAAAAACTCAAGACTTCTAATGGAAAGTGCTACTCTCAATTAAAATACATATGGGATTTCTTAAAAATTCTGCCACCATATGAAATGATCTAGTTGTCACTTTCTGAGTAGAGAAAAAATCAAGTGATATAGAAGGGATGCAGAAGGCAGATTATCATAATAAAAGGCAATGCTACAGTAAATATCAGCACTCGCGAGCAAACATTTGCTCGAAAAGTAGACTCTTCACCTTTTCCCCGTTCCAACATCTAAAACAACGTTCCAACTCTTGCTCAAAAGCATACCCATTTTTGCCACTGCATTAGTAAAATTTCTGGTGCCAATGGCATATTAGGGAAAGCAAAATTGTCCATCACCCAGACAAATAGAAATTTTGCTCTGGTTACGTCTCATTTAACCAAAAATAATGAACATTCCACATTTTTATCTCAAAGTATAGCTGGATATTGAAGTGTAAAAAATTCATTTGAAACTATAGACACATGAAAAACAGGGCAGGGAAAATGATTTTAGAAAATTACTAGATTGTGATACCACTCGCAGTGAAATACAAAATTGTTGGGATAATATGGAGTAGAAAAGTTTTTTTATTTTTGTTATCTTGGATTTACTAAATAAATTACTTCTTGCAAACAATGCGGCTATTCAAATTCTTACTTCTCCCATCAACATACATGAAATATATTCTAGAATAGCTTGTGTTCAACAGAAAATCATGAGGAATTGCAACCGCATGACGTTTCCACATGGAAGGGAACAAACTTTTACATCACGCAGAAGCACGAGGAAATCAAGGACTTTTTATGTGAAAAGTGACTGATATAATATGTGTGTGTAAGAATCATTTATGCCTTCAGCAGAAAGGAATGTTTTATTACCTTAAATTAACAGTAAACAAAAATTCATGCATACCTTAAGTTCTGCTCCAGATGCACCATTCATTTTCTCAGCAATTTTCTTCAGATCAATCCCTCGCATCAAATTCATTTTCCTAGAGTGTATCTTTAAGATGTCTTGGCGAGACTGCACAAGTTTTACCCAATTAGCCATAGTAATAAACATTTTTGAAGTGGTTTAAGGCATGTGGGGGGCATGAAATGTAACAAAATTTGATCAACAGTGTTAGTAAGCCAGCCCCCCATACCTCTTCATTAGGATTTGGAAATTCAATCTTCCTGTCGATCCTTCCAGGCCTAAGAAGAGCATGGTCCAGAATGTCAATTCTATTTGTTGCCATCAATACCTGTACGACCAAACATATTATAGGCAAAAAATTATCTGTTGTTTCATTTCTGAACTTTGACAATTCCAAAACAGGATAATTTATATCTAAATACAAAAAAAAATGCTGAATACCTATGACTCACATAATTCATAATTATACTAGACACCAACACATGAACAAATAATTCTTTAAAAGAGTACGGCATTTCGATTAAAACAATAACACACTAAGCTTATTCTCTATAAATTTGGGGCAGCTACATGAATCATTTTTCGTACTATGTTGCCCATCGATGCATCTACTAGAAGACCTAATACAAGAAGATCCTCTACAATCCAATGTTAATTGAGGATGCATAAAAGAACTTTTTCAAGTACGCAACACATATTCCAACCAATTATATTGTCTTGTCCTTAATTTATGTTCCATTGGTGCCACCTCCGATTATTGGCATATATTCTAAACTCATATCTTATAGTATGACCACACTGCCATCTTAACATCCTAATAACTGAACGCTTCTATCTTGTCGAAGTTCTATAGATGGCACAAACAAATTGTTCACCAGTAAACAAAATGGTATTCGCTTTAGCTAAAACAGTGGGTCCATGGTAGAATTATGATTTAGCTAGAAATGACTAGACAAGGCATTGCAATGATGAGAATAGCTCATAAAGCATCTCTCCCTAGTCATAAACCCCATCAGCCAACACTTCTTTGTCTTCAATCTTTCTCCAGATTCTACTTCTCCATCTTCCTTCAATCATTTTTCATTTTCCTAAGTTCCCTAATTTTTCTATCTTATCCTCTCTCAGCACTCAGATCTCCTTGCTATAGCCAAGTGTCAAATTTTCTAGAGCCTACATTGAATTAAGTAGGCCATAGGATGTTATGGAGTTTATGGAGTTTGTAACAGCCATGTCTAGGTCACCAGGTCACTGAGTAAGGTCAAGAGGTTAATGTAATAGCTTTAATTTATTACCCAAATGCTGCACCAACTTGAATTGCAGGAATTTTTAGTTACTGTACTTTTCTAATGGCTATTGAGTTCTTTTATCCTTTTGGTATAATCCATTTTTTACATAATTTCTTAACCAAATGTTGCAACTTGTTCCATTTTTATAATGTTCTTATTTTGAACTTTGTTTTACTCAAATAATTTTGGAATTAATATTTTTCCATAATCTTATCTTATATTTTAATTTAAAATTAATTTAAATTTTACAAAAGGACCTTGTCAGGTCTCTACAAGTATCACGAAAATGTCCACCAATTGTCAAAATTTGAAAAAAGAGAAAAAAATAATAATAATAATAAATAGACACCAAAGACACAAGTCCAAGGCAAGTTAGTGTCTTAGGAATTAGTACTACATAGTAGAGTGACTGTGTAGCAGAAGACCATAAATAAATTCCAAAAGAAACACAACATACCTTGATCTTATTGGATGCCTCAAATCCATCAAGCTGATTGAGAAGCTCCAGCATAGTTCTCTGAACCTCACTATCACCATTGCCACTTCCGGACTCCATGCGAGTAGATCCTATGCTATCAATTTCATCCATGAAAATGATTGATGGAGCATGCTCCCTGCATAATGGAAGAATATCGTTTGAGAGTATACAACCGACAAGAACAAAAAGTTCTCTAACATTATAAAGAAGTGAAGGAATTTACCTGGCCATCACAAAGAGTTCTCTAACCATCCTAGAGCCTTCTCCAATGTACTTCTGAACTAGTTCAGAACCCGAAACCCGGATAAATGTACAGTCAGTATGATGAGCCACTGCTCTCGCAAGCAGTGTTTTACCAGTACCAGGAGGACCATACAGCAAGACTCCCTTTCACAATAAAAAGCAAAAATACTATTAAAAGCCCTTCAACAGTTGTAGGAATTACTATTACCAAATCCTAGCAGGCATTACCTTTGGTTGAGCTATTCCAAGACTCTCAAACAGCTCAGGATGTTTAATTGGAAGTTCAATGACCTATAAACACAAGACACCAGGAAAAGAAATCAAAATGACAGCTGCTTCCTAGTCATATCTGCAAGTGAAACCTCTAGAAAATGCTTCAATTTTGAGTATAAGGAAAAAGGGAAGGAAATAATGGATGATCAAGAATGATATTATGTAAGGCATATAATTTATATGATCCTTCCAATGTAAAACACTCCTCTCCAACTTTTAAGCTAATCTAAACAGGTTATAAGTACTTAATATTGAAACTACAGAAAAATTCTCGCAAGTCAAATAAAGAATTCCTCATGCGTACCTCCTTTATCTCTTTAATTTGCTGATCCAGACCACCAATCATATCATAAGTAGAGTCTGGAACTTTTTCAACTTTCATAAGGTTCACTAAGGGATCAACTTTACTAGGCAACATCAAGTGCAAAACATAGCTATCATTACGTAACGCAACCCTAGTTGAGGGTGTAATCTTAGTTATATCAATATTTTTGTCAACATCAACCACGTACTTCCCTTCAGGATGGACCTAGAAGCAGAATAGAGTACATGAATATCAGCAACAATTGTACAGCTTGCCTGTAAAACTAAGATTCTCTATCATTCATTTTCACCAAATTTCTAGCATTGTCAGGCATCAGAAAAGGAATTGCCATATTAGATAACAGGGAAAGATTGAAAGCTATCACAAAGTAACAAAAGGAGAATTCAAGGACTTGTGTAGCTAGTCCTCCATGCACAGTTAAGATTGAGTCACAAGATACCATCGTCCCCCAAAAAATAAATTAATTAACACCATGTAAATGTGTGAGTATCTAGGATATTTTTTCCACTTGTAAGTCACTCTCTCCTCCAAAAGAAAGAAAAAAAGAAAGAAAAGGAGAATGCAGAATTATTTGTCATACTTGCATTTGTTTCACTCTCCTTTTTCATTTTCCTTGACAGATATTCTTTTTACTGGTTCTTTTAAACAGCTTAGGCTAATAAGCAGATCTAAGAAGACAATTTTATTAATTTGTTCAACATTTTGGAATAACTTGTTTCAACTTTCAGTCATATAGTTCAGCAATACTTTCTTGTGATTAATAAAAAAACCAAAAAGCAAGTCAGAGTAATCAACTGATTCATGAGGTGGAAATGATCTTTTCTCCCTATTCTGTTCAATTTTGTCTCTTGAGTGCAAAAATCATTTAATATAGAGGACGTAGCACATACGCAAATACCAATACATGTTTAGTATAATAGGTTACACGAATGCTTGCTGACAGCAGAAACAGCTACTAACCTTGACAAGGACTTTCGATTTCCCCATAACTTTAACAACTTCACCAACATATGATCCAGGCTCCTGAAGGAGCTGAAGCTCTTCCTTCAACGACCTCACTGTCCATGAGGTAATGTCACAAAGTACATCAGAGTCAGGTGCATATATTTGATTAAGATCAAACAACATGTAGTTCTATTGTGCATTAAAAATATTTTCTTTCCATCTTCTGTGGGGTGGGTTGGATTATCTAAAGCTTAACCCGTTTTACCATTATAAAGAGAACTATAGGGCGGAGGATAAACTTATTTTCAAAATTCCAGACTATCGTGTATTTGGAATACAAAATTGGGTTTACAAAATTCCAGCATGAGATGGCTTGCAATTTCCTCAAAATTCAATCTTCATTAGTTTCGAACTGAAATGATTGCAGCAACATCGAGTGCATCCATAAAAAACCCTACTAGTCTACTTCGTGAATCAACTGTCTTCCAGAAAAAGAAAAAAATCATATTAATCTCTCCATTAATGCTAATTAAACAAAAAGCCCTGTAATTTCATCAATGAATTATTCTTTTACAAAATATTCATTGCAGCTAAAATAAATGCATGTTTCGATTTTAAGGGTTTTAAGAAAAGGGTATAATTAACATTACGTGTTCAATTACAACCGTATACGCGATGAATATACCCTCATATTACGAAAATTGGAAAATTCTTGGAGAGGGAGGGAGATAGAGGAGAGACCTCGGCCATTGAGGTCATTGCGCTGGGCTTCGAGGCGCTGTAGATCGTGAGTTTTCTGGCGCACATGGAGCTGAAGATCCTGTATCCGTTGCTGATAGTACTGCCGAAGACCTTCCCCGCCAACGCCGGCACAGCCTTGTTGGCGGTTCTTCGAGTCCTCCGCCTGCAGATTCTCTATCGCCATTCAATCGGAGAGTCAGTGAGTTTCTTGCTGATCAAATTATGGGTTTATGGTCTCTAATTAGTAATTAATCTTTTGTAAAGAATCTGCGGTGCTGTATATCAATATCTTGACCCGAACCTGCCTGCCGTAGTTAAAGTGAAAGAAACGAGTTGATGGTTCTGGTCACTGAACTGAGCTTCACGTGTTTGATTGGTCACTTAATTTTAAAATATCGAGATTTGATCACTGAATTTAGATTAATATTTTCAATTGCTCACTGAATTTAGATTCATATCTTAGATTGCTTACTAAAGTTTAAAACGTTGAGTTTCAGCCACTAAATTTTGAAATATGCCGTACGTTACTCACTAGCATAACTGTTGAATTTTAAAAAATATCGAATTTATAGTGAGTAATGTACAATATTTTTCAAAATTTAGTAGCTAAAACTCGACATTTTAAATTTCAGTGAACAATAAAAAACATAGACCTAAGTTCAGTAACCAAATTTTGATATTTTAAACTTTAGTGACCAATTAAAGATATTGACCTAAGTTCAATGATCATTGGAACAATTAACTCGAAATAAAAATTGAAAGAAAGATTATCTAATAATTGCAAACCCGCCCCAAGTTAGAAATAATGTCGATAATAACCCCTCACTTATATATTATTGTGCATATCTCCATTTATAAAAGCAGATCATGGGCAAGATTGTCTTTTTATCGGCATTGATGGTCTCCTTGAGGAATTTAGGGCCTGTTTGACAGAGGTGGGAATTCCACGGAAATTAGAATTTAAATTTCATTTCTCACTCTTGTCATGTTTGATGCCAATTTTTTCTCTATAGAATTGATTTTCCACCCATCCTTATTACATCAGCATTTTCTTTGTTTTCCTTGAATTTCAACTCCTACCAAAGTAGTGGGAATTGATTTTTCAGGCTATTTTTTTTTTTTTTTTTTTTACAATTGAAACAAATTCTAGGAGTAATTGCAAAAGAATATATCTTTTAAATTAACAATTTCCATGTAAAACAAAATCAAACGATATATATTTTTGGTTTTTTTTTTGGCTTTTTTTTTACGATGGAATGAAACTCTATTCCTAATACCAGTAAATTGTATCCCTTTAATTAACAAATTTCATATAAAACAAAGTCAAACGAAACACCAATAAACACATTTATTTCAACATTTTTCACGTGAATTATACCAATTAAACACAATAATTGACAATTCTCAATAGAACAATTTTTAGGCAATTCAATTCCCTGAACTTCGTTTTCTTTCGACCCAAATTTCATCTTTGCAACCAAATGAACCCTAATTATTTGTATAAAGTCTTCAAAATATTGGTTTTCTTTTCTGGGCCAGTATTACTATTTACTTCAATTTTGTGAGATCGCATTCTTATCTAAAAAATAATAATAATTTGTCTAATCAACCTTAGGATTTACCGAGGATAAAATTTGATAAAGTTTGTCATGCAATATATGACAAAAAAATTACATCGTTCATCAATCAATCTACACAATCATCCTTTTTCTAACACGTTATGTCCACTAGAGCCTAGAGGGGGCAAAAATAATTCGAAATAGGCAATGAAAACTTAATTGAGAGATGAAATGAAGACTCTTCCTCAAATAAACTAAAGAAGAAAAAGAAAGAATATGAATTCGAGTAAGGCGCCTAGTGATTTTGAATTTCTGGTTTCGAAAAAAGCTTGCTAATGAAAGGAGATATTGCTGCAAGCAGTGCCTTGGGACATTCCTCGTGTGGAAGATGGCCACAACCAGTTATTGCGACCAGTCTCTGCATGACAGTTTATCTTTCAATACTTTTACAAGATAAATCAGAAAATTCAAATTACATATAGAAATAAACCAGCTACTACTTGAAATAAATGAGAGCGAAAGCATGGGACTTACTGAATTTACTAGTTTGGAAGCCATAGATTGAACAGATTTTAGAGGGACAATGACATCGTCAGCCCCTGCAATAACCAAAACTGGCAACTTTTCAACTGCTTTCAGCAACAATTCTTCGTTTTTCGGTGTGAGGACGGTCTCGTATGATAGTTTACCTATTTCATGAAGGGCTTCCTCCCAACCTTCTACATTTAATGGGGCCTGATGTAGATCAGAGAAGCCGAACGTAAGAATTATAGTCAAATACCTGGCAAACAAACATGAGACGGCAGAAATGAACTACGAAAATGCACATGTTTTGATAAAAGAATTATTTGGAAGGAAAATATTGCTAATAAATATTAATCCAGCTGTAGTTGTGCTTCACTGTTGTGTACGATATGAAGATTTCCAAGTTAGCATGTTTGCATGAGCTTAAAAATGAGTAAAAGATACTTTTAAGTTAATTTTATTCTTAGTTTTAAGTCAAAAAGTTAACTGAACTATCAAAATAAGTAACATAATTTTATTAATTAAATCTTACTTATTTTACTTATATGTAACTTCTAAAGCTTTGCCAAACACGCTTTAAGAGAATATACATGGGTGTATATGGAATGCTGCAAGAGATATTATTTATAAAGGCTATACACATGCTGCTCAGAAGGATATATTTCCACAGACACATACTGCCCAAAGAAAAAGGGATACATTTTCTCAAAAAGTTCATATACATGAAATACATGAAAAGATTCCACATCAAAACTGCAAGAGGTGTCACAAAATAGTGATTGTACAGAGAAAAGTATTGGAAAAAAATACCTTGTAGAGGTTTAAGATTTCAGTTGTTAGCTTAGTAGGATCAAACCATGCACGTCGATTAACCATTTGAGTA